CTTCGTTCATATTATTATATGCATAGATCCTTTTATTACTCTGAGAAACACGCCGAGAAACAGGGAAAACCCATGTTCCAAGCCCATTTCGGGCGGATAGGACGGTGCAGCTCTAAGACTGCATCAGGCTTCGCGATCGGATCCTCGATTGGATTGCGCAACCACGACCGGGGGCGCCAAGAGGTGTGCCGCCATGCGGTAGAATTGCAATTGGGCCGCCGCGTTCAACAGAGTCAATTCGAATTGTCGTAGCGGTGGTGTAATGCGTGACGGTTGAGCACCCCAATCGAGCAATCCGATCGCGCGATCGCGAAGTTTGAACACGGTGTGACGTTGCTGTGCGACCATGCTGGCTCACCATGCAATCGCCCGGTCTTCTCGTGATTCATACGCTGAATAACTCACGCCGTCAGGGGCTGGTCCACCATTCTCGCAGTTGAACTTTATTCCAAAATCAGCTTTAGGACCTCCTGGATTGTGGCTGGCCGTGAGAATTATTCCTTAACATCAAAAGTCAGACGGAAATTAGATCACTGGTGAACGGAAAGTGTACCTCCATCAATTTTCTTTCCCTGGAACCCTTTCCTGATCAAATTGGAAACAGCAGGAGTCGACAGGAAACCATTCTGCCCAATAATTAAATGGCTTACCTCAAATCAGTAAATATCATAAGAAAACACTACGTTTCAGGCCATTCACCGACATTAATTAAGAATACTCTACTCACCCCATTTGCAGCTGAAATTTTGATTATGACGTTTACAGCCTCTTTGCACAGGAATCTCCCATCGCCACCAACGACCAGGGTAGCACCCTTCTTCTTTGATCCTAGACCGCCATCCAAAACGCACTGTATGAAGTTCTCAGTATAGTGTTGCTGTTGGAATTCAGGAACCTATAACAACAAAGATACTCGTTCAGTAATCAGCCATCAGTTTACCTAGCAAACTGCCGGCCGTGACGTGATGACATAAATAATAAGACTTTAATAAGATTTTATATAGTATTTTGATTGCTACAATCCTTAATACACTTTTCTTATCCAAGTTTTAGAGGGGGGGGGTGACTCAAAGAAGTAGCTTAGTTTCCGTTTCGCACGTGCCCTTAGACGGAAACCAAGCAGTTTGTATATCCTCCTTCTGTGCTCATCAGTAAGGGAAAGGAGGAATAAGGTGTTTATCGTGATAATTTACTATTATATGAACTTAGTAAAAGTTAGTAAATGTTCTTTCAACATTAATTTACTTGTTCTTGTTAAACATAAAACAACGAACATAAAACTGAGCCAAGAAGCCTCAACGGTCGGTAGTTTCGGGTTCAAGCATTAGCGATTACCCTTGAAGGTAAAGGGCAGGCGCATTACGCAGGCGTTGAAATTTGCGGCCTCATGCTGCCTTATGAAGAGTTCGCCGCGATAGAAAAACCACACTGCACCCTCATATACTTTTGTAACACCCCATTCTAGCTGCTACTATCTATGCGAACATTGGAAAATTGTCAAGTTATTGGGAAAAATACGTGTTAAAAATAATGAGATTCTCTAGATGTTTCGCTCCCAAGGGGCTGCTCGACAACGTCAGAACCATAGTGCTGAATATTTTCCAGAAATGAATGCCTTGCAATTGAACTATGAGCATTCTACTAGAAAAAGTTACGTTTTTGGGTCAAATGTTCATGAAAAGTTGATACAGATGTCAAAGAGATCTCAGTGCTAGTCGTCAAAAAGAGGACGTAAGAAAAATGAATTCGATGTCCCACTCCTTCCAGCTCAACCGTTCCAAAATGCGAATAGAAGACAATGAACATTGGCACTCATGCCATGTTTCGGTATTACGTTAAGTGATGAAAAATATGACCTTGAGAGTTCTTGTGTTGATTACGTAACGCCTCTTGCGGCTCTATCACCAATTTACAACATCCAAAAACTCCAAGTTTCGCGAAAACTTTGCCTGTAGGAATTATTCGGTATCTTGGGTGGACATGAATATGATATCCATTCTTGGCCTGGCAAATTTCTCACCAAAATCGCGCGGATTTGCATGCGGGGGGTTACCCCACATGCAAATCCGCCGCGATTCCCTGACACGAAAACGAAAATTCATTCTTGGCGCTGGCGCCTAACGTAAGGGCGGGGCACACTGGTCAAATGCGCTCTGCGGAAAGATGAGCCTATCAGGAAGGAAATTACCCGTCGACACAGTCTTAGCAGAATGCTAAATTGCACTGTTGTCGAAAAGTGAAAGTCCACACTGGTCATCTGCGCTCTGTGAACCTATCAGGAAGGCAATTACTTCCCTCCCAGACAGACCCTTATTGTTAACAGAGCGCTGGATTGCACTGTTGTAGAAAAATGAAGGTCAGGTTATTAATGAATTCTAATGTTTTCATCGCCTTGGTGAAGAAGATGGGCGCGCCAAATAAAGCCAGCGGCAAAAACGAATGCCACATTTGTGATCTGGGCAAAATAGAGGAATAACTTCCCTACGCCGCACAGTTCTAGCGGAGAGAAGAAAAAAAATTTCGAATTTTTGGAGCCGTAACAGAAGCGCAAACCGCTGCATTTATCAATTATTTTGTTTCCACCTTTGATTTTTGTAATGGATATTTTTAATGTTGCTGCACGGAGCGTGAGATATTTATTGACCTTCAGAGGCTTGAGGATTCGGGAAGAGTCTCAAAACATCCTCAACGAAATAAAAGACTCAGCTCCCTCTAAATGATTTATAAAACAACAAAATCCCATAAAAAATGAAATAATAATAAAATAAGTGGTGGAAAAACAAAACGAGCACTCGGAATGGAGTATCTCATTCATCCAAGAACTATAAAATAAGACAAGGAACAACCGGACAACCAGATATTGGACCTACCCTCTTCCTCAGTCCACTTGTTCCTGGTTTTTGCCCTTGAAAAGGCTTCGTCTGTACAATTTCCACTTTCACCATACCTGAACGAATCGACATAAGAATCGTAGACTACGCCCTGAGAACAAAACACAGAACGTTCACGAAACCATGCATTTGAATTCGTCCAACATGAAGAATGCGCAAGCGTTCGCTGTGCGGTGATTCACTCAAGGTTTTTTCTACAAAAGGAGGTCCAAATTTTTTGTTCAGGAAGAGATGGTCTTGTGAAAGGCTATAAGCCGCGCGACATGGCGGTACTGAACCTTCTGGCTACTATACAGGTTTGGAAGGGAAAGTCTGTAGGCACTATCTGTGATTTTCTCTATTCATTTTCTAACTCAATATAAGTTGGATAAGTCACAATATACTCGTCTTGGTACTAGCCACTACAGTGCTCCACCCAATGGACAGGTAAGCATTCCCCTCCTCCCAGAACTGAGAAGGCTGCGAGTAGAGTAAGTCAGCGCCCTCTCGACTGATGTCATCAAAATTGCTGAAAGTTTTCATAGCTAAGAAAGCCTTAAGGAGGCGTAGCAGGTAGCAGTCGTGGGGACTAAGTCGAGGGAAGAATATTATGAGCGGGGACTATTCTCCCAGCCTTGCTAGTTCGGTGATTTTTCTCCAACAGTTTCCACCGGTTTCAGGAGCTGAGCGACACAAATGGTAGCGATGATCGTGTGTTCTTACAGGACAGCTCGTTCTGCAGCATCCCCCTCGCGTCCAGGAGCAGCACAGGAGAACCTTCTCGGAATACATGCCCGGTTTGGACTGCTAGAATGGATCTTCTCCTTGAGAGAGACACACGGTACTGTGTGGGTTGAAATCATAGAGGACCCATCTCTCCCCCACTAAGCAGTCTCCCGGAAACTCCTTCTGACGAGGGCAGAGAAGGGGAGACTGACCAAGGGGTACCCGGGTGCACAGCGTGCCATCGGTCAAGGTATGAATGATCCATCAAGCCAGTACTTCTTGGTAGTCAAAGGCTTACAGGCGGTGGACGACTGTCAGTTAGGTACATCCGAGTCTTGTCGCAAGACTGCGGGTGGTAGCCTCTGGATCCCCCTTGTCTGCTTCGAGAATGGTGGAGTCTTCCACTTCTTGGGGCCGTCCCAACCAAGGTTTGCCTTCGAGGATCGAGTCTCTTTTCGCGAAGCGAGCGAACTAAAAGTGAACGATCCTGACGATAGTGGTGTCCTCCCTCAATGCACTGTTGATGTTACGGACAGCTGCCGTGGCTCCAGTGCCGCGGGGCCACTGATAGAAGATGATGACCCGAAGATGCTCCTGTGAAACTGACATCGTAATTAGACCCAGGGAAGAGCAGGCGCCTCTCGCAGGAATCCCAGAGTGTCCTACAAACATAGCATGTTATGTCATGCACGAGCATCGAGAATCAAAGCTTTTCGAAAAACACTGACAGGACTTTCCTTCCAACCTAATATTACATGGACGAAACTTTGAAAGAAGGAAGCGTATAAACAAGCAACATCGACTTTGGTATGCGGAGGCAGATCCACGACCAAATATAAGACGGAACAGATGCAGGAAGGATTTACCAACAAGAAGCCCGCGAAAAAAAAATCGTGCAGAGTGAATAAGGAGAATACTGGGAAATGACCTCTAAGTTCACAATATGAAATTGGCAGCAGCACCAAATCGATAACTCCCACATAGCACCGTCACCCGTTGGACACTTTTGAGTTTCGTCGCAAAGATAATCAAGGAAACCACATCACTTTACAATGACGCTCGATACCAACCGAAAATCACAAAAGTAAAAAAAACCACAATCACGGACTTGAATATGCCAATCTGACGATAAGATGGCAGCGGGCGTTATGGTGATCAGATGGCAGTGATGCTTGTTTACTGACCTCTTCAAACGTTAAACACGCCTGCATGGAAGAAGAGGCGCAAGTCGAGTCTGTGTAAATCGTCGTGGGCGAACCTCATAAGCAGCGGTGGCCAGAAGTAATATTTTAGTAGACGATCAGAGGGGTATATCTTCCTTCGCTCAACAATAATGTTTGGGGAAAATTCGGTAAGAGGGCTAGTGTGATATAGGGAGCTGTTGTCCCACCGTAGTGGTAAGATGTAAAAGAGGTCCCCCGATCTATGTTGACAAAGCAACACCGGAATTGGGTTAGAGGCCTTCTGTTAACCGGATATTTTCTCGCCGCGAGCGTCCAGGGGCAATTTCTCATTGCATCATCTACCCGAGCATGCAGAGGGAAGAGGAAGAAAGGAAAACCAGGAATGATGGGAAAGAAAGAAACGAGAAGGAAGGTTTCGCGATTGGCGATATCCCAGCACCCCGGATTCGGTGATCAGGTTGGTGACGCAACAAACCACCACGTGCCGAATGACGCTACGACGGACAATGATCATATCACTATTACTACATGACAAATGATAGGAAGATGGGGGAATTTAATGTGTTGCCCAGCGAAGAGCTTCGTAGTCTCAAAAATGTCCCTTCTTCCCTTAACCCAAAGATTATTCAATTTCTGAGACCGTGCTTTTTCGTTCTTTTCCACTGTAAGATGGCAGTAGTACTGAATGGCACGAAGAAGCGGCTAGTGAGCAAGAGGTGACAGAATATCGCTTTGTTGGCATAAAATTGTTTAATTTGATACTTCAACTCTGACTAGACCCGTAAACATTTGAAACGCAATAAATATGTCAGTAAATTTGCGTTTAGAATATGATGCGTTGAGCTATATTCTCGATCTCTACAAGACGAATGAGGAAATCGAGAACAAATAAATCACCGGAGCAAGAAGCTAGCCAAAGCAGCATTTTTTCCCAAGGATTTTTCTACTGATGAGAAGTGAAGCTCCGTCTGGCAGAGTAGTCTGGTGGTACACGCATGAGACTCTAAAAACCTCCTTAGTTGAAATGAGCCGTTGCTACCATTGGCTTCACAGCAAACTTTCTAGCAAAAATTACACATCATTCCAGTTTTTCAAAATGATCTTTGAAATTCTGTTATCTAAGACATTCCGTTTGTGGCAAACAGGAGCGGTATCCAATTGGGGTCGTGAGCGAGAAAAACAATTCTATTTCCGTAACTTTTCAAGAGCAAAATAGAATCATGTGATGATTTTGCACTACCGAAAAAGATGTGCAAAACAGTCTCAAAAGTGTCTTTAGAGTCAGTGAGGAGATATTGAAGAAATTGTCCAGGAATCAGACTCGCTGATAGGAACTCGCTCATCCCCTCACTAACCATTCTCAGACAAATGTGGCTCTGGAGCCACATTTCCTATGTGAAAACGGAGCTAAAGATAGTGCCACTGCCAGACTATAAGTAAATCGAATTCCCAGTGTGAGAGCGAACGGAGACGTAAACAAGGACAAGGATGAGCAAAAGAATGTGGGTGGGAGAGAAGTGCTCTCGCTGCGCAGCCGCACGCTTGTAATTAGAGCAGCTTTGACGAAGTTTCCAGCTTCATTTTGGATAGCCTTTGATCGGGAGTTCTATACGGCGATAGCTACACGTATATTTTGCCAGTATATTACTGCAAAGTCGGATAGCTGAGATTTGAAGGCTCTGAACCGCGATTAGGATAAGGATAAGGATAAAGTCTTCGCCGTTGATCAATCCCTTTGTGGGATGCGGCACGCATTCTACTTCCATTCAGAATCGTAGTGGGTTATTGAATGCGATGTGGCCTATACAATGACTTGCGGTGGCCAGCCGATGTACAAGTCAGTGTTTTATCCTCCCAGACGAATCTGGTACCAATTTACCGTCCCGGAGGGTAGAAGGCTTGGTTGGCCTGGGCGGGTGTCGGCCCGGATTCGAGAGCCGCCGAGCGGAGTGGTAAACGGCACCCTTTGTCACTACACCATCTCCGCACAAACAGCGTTTTTATCAGTTACAAAAAAAACTTTCATCGGCATTGCGCATACTCTGCTCTGCAAGTTATACTCTGCAAACGTTCATTTCCTCGTTCAGATGCACTAGCGACTTCAGCGCGAACAAGCTCCCTTTGAACTTTTCGGGAGTTTCCGACTGTGCTTGACGTGGCGGTAAGCACCTGAAAGAAGCTCGACGACTTTGAAGGACTACTCGTTATCCACTAGATCACTGCGGCATGATGGCAGCTTAATAAGGAGGGGATTGATGTTGGCGGCCGCGCAAGCCTATTTGCAACTTTTTTTTCTGTGAGAAACAGGATTGTATCGTATTCGTTTTCCACCGGATGTGGCTATCCCGCTTCAGCGACTAGTGGATAGTCTGGGAGTGGCCAAGTCGCAGGTTCCGGTCATCTGATCGCGCCCCATTAGTCCGCAGCGAACAAGACCGATGTTTTTTCCTGTACTCAGCGTTTCGGAGAGATTTGATCTTCTTCGCAGTGGAACTCTTTAAGCCATCATTCGAATCTTCATCCATGCTACTCTGCGATCTGCTGGACAGATGTGAACAATCCTGCGAAAATGAATTGCTGAAAGTTAACTGTACTGCCATACTGTGTCACGTCGACTGGTTTCGTGTATCCTGTCGCGAGAGTAGTCGATGAACATGGCCTGCTTAGACAGGGGAGCAGATACCAGTATTCAAAGGATATGCCGAATTAACCCTCATAGCAATGCGGTTTTGTGAAGATCTCCCTCGGCCGGCACTACTGAATAAAAGTAGTTCCGTGGCGAGTATTGACGCAAGTTGAGATGACGAAGATTCCGCTTTTCTTAGCACACAGAGGCTGAGGAGCAGCGATGGTTGGTTGGTTACCCTCGCGCATGTCAACGTCGCCATGTGTATCCGAAAAGGGTGCTGAATAAACTGTCTCTGCAGGTACTGAATAGGTCACTTGGAATGATGGCGGAGCTGGTGCATAGCCTAAAGTTGCTTCATTAAATTAGGAAAAGTTGCAAAAGAGCAGGAAAGGATATCACACCGGTAAATGAATCATTGCCAAGGAGTGCAGGCTCTTCGGGTGCGTATTTTGACAATGTCGCATAGTATCCATAAGAGTTGGCAGGAAATCCGGTTCCATCGGATGTTGTTGGCTGTTCACTCGTTGAGGAAATATAGGCTTGATATCCATAGT